GTTGCTCGGGCCTGGACTTGCGGCGGCCCCGGAGTTTGGCCGCTGCTCGGTGTCCCACCCCGCGGGGCCCGCCGCTGCCGCTGCCGCCTCCGGCTACCGCCCATGGCCCCGGCCCCGGAGCCCGGCCCTCGAGCCCCGCGCCCCGGCCGGCCCGCCGATCGCAGGTCCCCGAAACACCGCGCTCCGCCTCGCCCGGCCGCGCTCTCGGCGCTCCGGCCCGCAGCTGCCGGCCTGCGGTCTCCAGCTCCTGCCTGGGACGACGGGCACGCGCGCGCCCGCACAGGCGGCGGGGAAGGGAGGCGCGCGGGGACGGGGCGCGCGGAGGAGGGGGCGGCCGGGGGCGGCGGGAGTCGGCGCGGGAGGCGGGAGGCGGGGGGCGGGGCCGGGCGAGGCGGGAGGGGCGGCTCCCGGCTCCCGGAGACCCGGAGTCCGCGGTGCGGCGGTCCTGTCTCCTGCTGGCTTGGGGAGACGGGGGACTCCGCGGAGGCCCCCTCCCCGGTCCCTGGGGAGTTCCGGGGGGTGCGGTCTCGTCCCCTCTCCCGGGTTCCCTGCGCAGCCCCCCAAACGCCTCTCCTCCAACCCCCTCCGTGCTCTAACGACCGCTTCCCGCCTGGGCTCGGCCGCTCCCTGGCTGTACTGGGAATGGACACCTTTGTTCAGAGGAAAGGAGAGGCAAAGCGCGGGGTGCGGAGGAGGTGAGGAGTCGTCCGGCGACCTGGCTAACTTGGGGCCTCGCGCGCGCCACCGCCTGAGCATTCCCCGTGCCTGTCCTCTCTCCAGGACAAGCGTCAAGGGACAGACCCTCCGAGTGTAAAGCTCCTGGGGCGCCAGGCTGCGACCAGGCTTTGATCAAATCTTTACGCGGGTTTGGGCACCAGCGAGGATGCAACCCTAAGCACAGGGCCGCCTTTGCTCCCTGATCCCCACACCCCTGCCTTAGGGTTAGGGGACAGGGTCAGGGAGAGGCGGCCTGGGGTCTGCAGAGTGCTCCCAGGAAGCAGGACCAAAGGACTGGCTGGTCTCCTGGAGGAGTGAGGTCCCTGAGGGAGGAGCAGCTGGGGTAGACAAGCCCCTGCTTTAGGGTCCCAGGAGCCCCCAGCCCTTTGGCCAGGGCCACCTTCCAAGCCCTACTCCACTGGGTGTTGACCAGTCAACCACGCCATTGCCTATGAACCCATGGGCACCATTTTTTATTTTTATTTTTTGGCCGTGAACCCAGGGACTTCACACTGACTTACACCTCCAGCCCTTTTTTACTTTTTATTTTGACACCAGCTCTTGCTAACCCCTAAGGTGCCCAGGCTGGGCTTGAATTTGTGATCCTCCTGCCTCAGCCTCCGAGAGCCCTGGGATCACAGGCGTGGGCCACCTCACCCAGCCACTGGGCACTTTATCCCCGGCCAGGGCTCCCCTGGGGAAGTGGACAGCCTGGAACAATGCTTGCTGGGAGCATCTCCCTCACCAGTGTCCCGCAGGGCCACTCTGAGTGGGCTGCAGTGTGACAGCCACCTGTTTTTTTCTGGTCCCATGGAGGAATGGGGCCGAGTGTTTTCCTTCAATGGTCACAGCAGCCCCTGCCTGAGAGGCCTAGGAGTCACCAGGGGAGCAGAGGGCCACTATGGCAGGCAGGGGTGGGGGACACTCCTGTTCAGTCCTTCCTGTGGCCTCTGACCCCAGCTGGGCCTGCATATGGGGGTATGGCATCGTTGCCATGCCAGCCTGGCCTCTGATGACCTCATCCCTGGTCACATGGCATCCCATACCGGACTCTGAGTGTTCTCTGTGGCCCGCGTTTGGGACGCTGTCCTTGATCTGGGGAACTGCTGCTCAGAAAAGGTTCTCAGGCGACTAAAATGTGAGGCCAGTAAAGGTCATGTTCCCTGTGCTGGCTCCAAGTGTCCCTGTGCATTGACACACTGGCAAGCACTCTGCCTCTGAGCCACATCCCCAGCCCCAGCCCCAGCCCGAGTTAATGCCTTTTAGATCACTTTAAGAAATCTTTCCCCACTTTAAAATCAAAAAGATATTCCTTTGCCTTCTCCTTTTAAGAAAATTTTGGTTTTTGGTTTTGGTTTTTTTGAAACACAGTCTCACTATGTAGCCCAGGCTGGCCTCAAACTCACAGAGATCCTCCTGCCTCAGCCTCCCCTCTCAAGTGCTGGGATGACAGCTGTGCACCACCGTGCCCGGCTTCATGCAGTTATTTGGATTGTCACTGTGGTCTTGTGTGTGTTTCTCTCCTCTGTCGAATGCTTCTATGTGCCACTACTTCCAGCTTCTTTTTAAGAATTTTAGCAGGCACAAGTCATGAATTCAAGGCCAGCCTGAATTACATAGTGAGACCCCGTCTCAAAAAAAAAGAGAGGCCCGGGGATTTAGCTCAGAGGCTCCACACCTGCCTCACAAGCACAAGATCCTGAGTTTAATTCCCAGTACCAAAAAAAGAACAAAAGAAAAAGAGAGTGTGTTTATGTCAAGCATGGCAGAGTATGCATAAGGTCTTAACCACCCAGGCAGCGGAGGCGGGAGGAGGGTCACAAGTTCAAGGCCTCACTGGGTTCTGTAACAGGGCCCCGTCTCATATATATGTATATATGCATCATACTTTTGGCACATCTTTCATTTTGCATACTTCTAAGTATTTTAAACTTGTTGTTGCTGTTGTAAATGAGATACCTTAACAATAGTACATTTTCTAAATATTTATGAGCAGTATATAGGCCTACAGGTAGCCTGTTAAATGCCCCTCATTATGTCCAATCAGCTTGTTATAAACTCTCATTCTTCTTTCTCTTCCTTCCTTCCTTCCTTCCTTTCTTTCTTTCTTTCTTTCTTTCTTTCTTTCTTTCTTTCTTTCTTTCTTTCTTTCTTTCTTTTTGGTTTCCTGAGATGGGGTCTTGCTACATAGCTCAGAATCACCTTGCACTCTCGGCAGTGCTCCTCCCTCAGCCTCCCAAGTGCTGGGATGACAGGCATACACTGCCACAACTGGATAGTAGCATTTTCTTTAAATCAAAAACAAAACCAGGCATGGTGGTACAGGCCTGTCATCCCAGCACTCTGGGAGGCTGAGGCAGAAGGATTGCACATCTGAACCCAGCCTGGGCAACTTAGTGGCTTATTGAGACCATGTCTCAAAATAAAAAGGGCTGGGGAGGTAGTGTAGTGTGAAGGCCCTGGGTTCCGCGTCTGCCATTTCCCTTTACTCTCAGCTTGTTCTGAGTTTTCGTCTTGAGTCAGTGCTGCACTGGAGCGTGTTTTTCTGCCGTAATAAGGTGACCCTCAAGTGGTTCCCATAGTGCACTCCATGTGGAGAGTGACTTAGTGAGCCCCTGCCTCAAAAGAACAAACAAAACAGAAAAGGGTCTAAAGCCCCTGGGTTCACACCCCATTACTGTAAATAACTAAACAAATAGCCAAAGGGGAACTGTTCGGATCACACCCAGGAGTGCCTCAGGTAGCTTTGAGGGACAACTCTTTTCCTCCTCTGCAGGTCACACAGGAGCAAAGAGGCCCACGCACCCGGCCCTCGAACTCCTCTGTCAATGTCAAAGCCCAGTGGCCTGAGACCTCAAGGGGGTGGCACAGTGAGCCAAGGGCCCTTTCTAGAGCTCTGAGTGACAGAGCTGCCAGAGAGACCCAGGCAAAGTGAAGAAGGCTGAGCGGAAGCCTCTTGGGGTGGGGCTTGGAAGCGCAGGAAAGTCTCGAGTTGGGCAAGTCTGGTTTATCCAGTACTGGGATGGAGCCCAAGGCCATCACACCGAGCCACGCCAGCCCTCCCTTTACTTTGCCACAGGGTCTCTAGGTTGCCCAGGCTGGGCTGGAACTTGCGGCCCTCCCAGAGTGCTGGGATTGCAGGCGTGTGCCCCTACACCTGGCTCTGTTTCAACCTTTCTTGATTTGACTTCTTTAGGAGGGTTGGAGGTGGGGTGGAGTGGTAGGTGCCTGTTCAGAGTAGTCCAGGCCCTAGGTTTAATCCTGGGCACCTCTACCAAAGCTGGACCCAGCAGAGCAAGATGGCGCATGTCTGTCATCCCAGCAGTTGGGAGGCTGAGGCAGGAGGATGCCACGGGTTTGAGGCCAGCCTGGGCTACATAGTGAGTTCAAGGCCAGCCTGGACTGCATAGCGAGAGCCTCTCTCAAAAAACAAAGCAAAAAAGCTGTACCTATATGAGGCATGTACTTTTCAGTTTGTATATTATACTTTTCTTTTTTTTTTTTTTTTTGGCACTGGGGATCGAACTCGGGTCCTTGCACTTTTGAGGCAGGCAGCAGAACCACTGAGCTAAATCCCCGGCCCTGTATATTATACTTTAACAGTGAAGCCCAGGAACTGGCACACAGAGACAAGCACTCTACCACTGTCATCCCAGCACTTGGGAGGCTGAGGCAGGAAACTCAGCTAATTAACAAGACCCTGTCTCAAAAATAAAAATTAAAAAAGGCTGGGGAATGTAGCTCAGTGCAGAGGACCTGGGTTCAAACCCCAGGAGCCTCCCCAAAATAGATTTTTTTAAAGCCAGATGTAGTGGCACACACTTGTAATCGCAGCACTCTGGGAGGCTGAGGCAGGAAGCTTACAAGTTCAAACCTTCAAGGGCTGGGGATTTAGCTCAGCAGCACCACGCCTGCCTGGCAAGAGCAAGATCCTGAGTACAATCCCCGGTACCAAACAAACCAAAAACCCAATAATAATATTAATAAAGTAGAAGAGAAAGGAGACAGTATCCCGGTGCAGAGGCCAGACAGGGACTGCACTGGCAGGGTGCATGGCCAGCAGCAAGCTCTCTGGCCGCGGGGCTGAGGGGCCCAGCCAGCAACCCGGAGATTTTGCATTTGGAAGCAGCAAGGGAGGAGAGCCTCGGGAGC